ATTCATCCTGAACATTTTAACACTTTATAATCAGGTGGGAGCCACTGCAGTGTAGTGTCTTGACCAGGGGTGGACAAACTAGGGTTCACAATTGTAACTGGCTCCTCAGGGAAAGTGTGAAATTACTATATAAAAAAGGATTGAATTCTAAAGATGAGGGTTTGTGTTTTCATAAATGATAGCATACACTCCTCAAATGTGTCACATGAACTTCCAGGGGTCCATGGACAACAAACTGGAAATCACTGATGTAGACTATCTTCCATCTAGTGCCTCATCCTTCTGTTTGTCTTCTTACTTCTGTGAAAATATATTCATGATTCTCAATTTAACTGTCTGGTTATTCTGCCGATGGCACTTAAAAGGGAACAATCATTATAAAATATCGAAGTGCAGTACTTTCAAAATGGCTAAAAGTATAGCCGAATTTCAGTAATATTAATTAGTCTAGGTTTCAATATCGCTAAAGACGGGTTTCCCAATATCTGTGACAGTGAAAATTACATAAAATGTCCTTTGTTGCAATATGTCAAAACTAGTGAAAAACTTGTGAGTCCCCGCAGAATCTCAAAACTTGCATATCTAAAGAAAGCATGCATAAGGCAGCTGTCAGATGTGCCAACAAAAATGGTCCCCCTCCAGAACTACAGCTCACTATTGGTTTAAATGATCAATTACAAAAGCCACCCACCATCTGAGTAGTCAACAACATGCCACAGGAACAGAAAAAAAAAACATTCCACATTAAATCCACTGTTCACAGTGTCAAACTAAGCACTCAGCCTCTGGGAAATGGAACCTTTGGACTCCCGGTCCAGAAACAGGGAATGTGCATCAGCAAAACCTGGCTGGAAACAAAGAACTCTTCAGGCAGCCATTGCTCATATTGGCTAGAAGTCCTCACATTCATAATTTGCTTTGACCAAATCTAAAAATAAAATACTTGACATAATCGTTGATACTTTACATATAATCAAAAACTGATTGTTATGAAGTGAAAACACCAAAGCATTCACTGAAGGGAGACTTGTTCTGACAGTATCTGAAGTTTCCTGTTTTTATTCTGTTTAAACAACGATCAACATCATGGCATAAAGGTGGTAACCCATAAGTGCTTCGTTCTACTTCTAACTCAAGCGCGGGTCCGAAGACTCATTGCAATGCACAAACTCCGAAGCACCAGTGAGGAACCTGAAATACTTTGGGTAGATTTTTAACTCCAACCTTTTGCCCAGGCAGTGTTGTTAGACTACTCATTTCAATTTCCAACTGCCAATGAATTCTTTATATGTGCTCAACAAAACACGCAGAGGCCTGATATTACTACCCAGAGACGAGGGAAAATTACCTGAAGTCCATTAAAAAAATCCCAGCTTTCACTGGGCCTGGACCTCCAGAACTCAAGGTGGATGCCACCTCGAGACCACTCAGCTCCCCCCTGTGCTGCTTTCCACTGAAATTCTTATTTCACATACTGCAGGTAATACTGTGCTGGTGTGTTTGATACAGGTGCCATAATTATATAACTTCCTTGGAGGTTGAACAGGGCATCTGGGCTTGCCCTGTTACTCTACCATCAGCATTGAGGTTCTTCTGTCTCACGGTGTCAGACCTTCAGGCTCTGTTAGTTTGCCATCCAAACTGAGATCTTCTGATCTCAGGATGTCAAACATTTCAGACAGAAGCCCAGAGGGAATAGACAGTATGCATGCAGGCAATCCTTTTTATAAATAGTAATACAAGTAAAGATTATTTCTAAATATCTCATGAATGAATGGCTTTTTGTGTTTTTAGGCCAGGTCAGGTAAATGTTCCCCTCAAGCCATTTCTGAATGGCTTTTCATGTTTTCAGGCCAGGTCAGATAATTGTTTCCCTCTAGGACTGTCAGGTAATTGTTCCCCTCAAGGCATTTCTGAATGGCTTTTCATGTTTTCAGACTGGGTTAGGTAATTGTTTCCCTCTAAGACTGCTGTCCATGAGATTAACATCTCATGGACGAGAATCAAATAGGAGCAAGTCCTGTTCAACTGAATAGCAATTAGGTCACCCTATGTTTATGAAGCAACCTGCAGTCATTCTCTCTCTCTCTTTCTCTGTGTGTGTGTGCACGCGCACATTTGTGTTTGTGTTTTCGTGTTCATGTTCATGTGTGCGTCTGTCTGTCTGTCTGTCTATGGGTGTGGGGAAGCTATAATTTCATGTTTTAGGTAGTATTTTCCCAATAACTGCCAGATTTCCACTGCATTTATGAGTTACAATGTGAAAATACCAAAAGTGTGAAAAACCAAAAAAACAGTTTTAGGCAATTATTGTTTATGGTAATCTGTTTATAATTTTAGTCTTACAAGAATTAGCAGTCTGCACTAACGTAAATTTCTTCTACATAAAGACAGCGTGATTCATAATCCCTCTTTTTACCAATCAATCAGGTGCCATCTCCACAATAAAGGTTGGCTGCAATGGATCTCCAACATTCTCCTTCTCTTATCTTCGTAGCATACTTACTCTCTCAGGCGGATTTTCATTCACCATTTGATGCTGTCATTTCTACCTGTATTATTGTTAACTTCTTGCTTTCTTGTTTTTAACTTTTCTCTCTAGTATAGATTTTAAAAGTCTACCACCATAATTATGGTGAGCATAATATTTTGAGCTGAAAATGGGACATCCCACTAATATTTTGAGCCAAAAATGGGACATCCCACTAATATTTTGAGCCAAAAATGAGACATCCCACTAATATTTTGAGCCGAAAATGGGACATCCCAAGCAAGTAAATTTTATGTCAACCCCACTGTTTGTAGCTGACCACACTAAAAGGGTTAGTTACTCACTGACAATAATATTAAACCCAAAGCTACTGTAACCAAAAAATGTATGACAAAACATGCTACAATGAATATTCCTAGTAAGAAATCCCAGGCATCAAAAGCATCTAAAACTTTGAAATTTAATAAGGTCTACAGATACAAATATAAGTGTAAGGTCTATTCTCTAGCTTGTTACTAGATTCTTATAAAAATGGAAGAATGCTACTGTTTTTTGTTTCTTTTCTAACGTACCAATGAGCACTTCTAAAAATGGGACTGCCCAGATGACAAATAGGGACGTATAAACTATAATCAGTTTAAAAAATAAAAGTCTACCATAATCAGTTTTAAAATAATAACTACAGCCATTTTGTCCTGTATATCTATATACAGAATCAGTCTGAAAAATAAAACAAATAACCATGACCATGACGTAAACTGGAAAATCCATCATGTAGATTCTTAATTTATACTCAAAATTAAAATAAGATTATCCATAACTCCATCATATCCATAACTCAGTCATGTCAAACAACATGTGTGACCAGCTATTGAACTTGTGTATTAGACAACATGTGATAACTTTTACATTTGGTCTTAGCATATTAAAACAAAATATGACTATGTATTTTAATACACAACACAGCATATATTGTTTCCTAGAAAGTATTAAACTAATGCATTTTGCTTTGTAGTTAATTTCTGACTGGACATCATCATCATCATCATCAATTCTCACTTTTGCCATTAAGTGACTTGGGGAGGAACAGTTTGCGATCCATTGCTAGATGGGCAGCAATGGCTATTGTCCTTCCATGACAATGTAGAAGCTCTTTAATGTTATCAGTCCATGTTCTCCTTGGGCGACCTCTTGCCTTTACATCAGATCTTTTCAGGTGTGGCACCTGCGTTGGTAGTTCTTGCTACATTCTTACTACATGACCAAACCATCTGATCTTCCATTTTTCAATGCATCTGCTGCAGCGGGTTGTTCCCATAGTCTGTCTGATAATATAATTTCTAACTTTGTCTTGGATGGGTAAGTTGGCGGCATCTCTCAGGCATCTAATTTCACATATGGTAATTGTATGTTGGTTAACCTTTCATAATGTCCAAGTCTGACACTGTTAGCAGAGTGTTGGTATGAATTTGCTGTTTATAATCTGTTTCTTGGTGCTTATACTTATGTTTGGATTAGGCATCAGCTGCTAAACGTCTACGCATGAAACAGTCTGAATATTTAAGACTAACAAATGAATAAAAGTAAAGTCGGGAGATGTGAAACAGCATCATTGCACACGGTTATAAACCATAAGTGCTCTGCCACAAGAACGGACAGCTGATAAGAAACTGTCTGCCTGTGTTGCCATCCGCACGCAACTCCGTAGCTATAGCGACATTCCTCCATTTACCCCAGAATGTTAACTCTGGTACCTATTACCTAGAGGCTGGGAGAACTCCAGGAACTGTCCAGTTTTGAACACCGGCCGTGGGTTGCAGCGAGTTGTATAACATCCTTAACAACAGCACTCACAGGTTACAAGACAACATGGTTATTATTGTAATTACTATCATATTCTTAAGGTTCACATTTGAAGACCCCTCTTACATGAAACAGAGAAACAGAGATGGATCCCGTAAGGCTTTCTGGTGGCCTGTGATGAAAACAATATTCTGTGAAGGATAATGCTAGAATTCTAATAAGACAATACTTGGTGGTGCTGCCATTTTTATATGGCCCCAAATGTTGAAATGATCTAATTTGTTAACAACAACATATTTAACAACATCACTTACTGTTTAAAATAATACAAATTTGTGGTTATAGATTTCTAAATTTATGTGCCCTCAAACCAGTGGCTAGAACCTCACCTGCTGGCTCAAAGGTCAAGAATTCAAATCCACATGAAGAATGAATTTTTTTCCAAGTGACCTTGACTGCTAGTTTGAACCAGCCTAACTGGCTACCAGGTAATGTCCTGGGAAATAAAGGTGGCCAGTGTTGACCGCATCACCCACTGAATGCTGATTGGTCTATAACAAATGTAGGTCTAGCACTAGATGCCCAGTGCACAAAAAGTGTGAAAATGTTTTTTTTTACTTTACTTACTAATCACAGTATCACTCACATAGTAAGTACACAATAATAATCCATTCTTTAAGTGTGTTCATGCTGTAATAATTGTTTCTTATGTTAAGGAAATACTCTGCTCAAACTTTTTAATCCCATTTTTCACAATGCCAGTTGCCTGAGGCACATCCTTGCCAGAAAAACTGTTGTAGCCAGTTTTGTTTCCCAAAGATTGTACTTGTGCTTTTGAGCTTTTACTTGGCAGAGTCTTACTTCCTTTAATAAAATCTAATGAGCTGCTGGTATTCAGACGAGGAGGCTTCTTTGGCGCAGTCAGTGAGTAAGTTTCTGTTGGTGCAGGGCTGAGCTGTTGACTGTCAGTGGGTTTTTCAGCAGTACTGTCTTTGGTTCTCCCCAGAGTTTTTGAACAATTTTCAGGCAAGCTGCTGTTGGACATGCCATCCGTGATGTTTTTACTTGAAGGCTGGTGTTTATTTGAAGCTGGTGAACTTTGGTCTAATGCACAGGATCCTTTTATGGGGGAAAATTCATCAATCTGTTCATATGTGGCGGAATCATCACCAACACTTGAGATCTGTGTTCCAGTTGGTGAATTAGGAGATTCAGAAGCACTTTTTGGTGACTGCTTATTCACAGTAGCATTTATAATCTTGGGTCCGGAGCTTTTCCGGTTTTCCGAATTCTTTGCTTTATCTGGCTTATCCTTGCCATGTTTACGCCGACTAAGCACGCCATATTTTGGCTTCTCTGTTTTCACAAGACAAACATATGGCTGTTTTTCGCCTGGTGACTTTACTTCAGTGTCACTCTGGACAAGCTCTCCTGGCTGAGGTTTTAATCCCCGCAAGCCTTCATCGGATGCAGACAACCAAAGTGTTTTTCTAAGGTGAGCAAACTGTTCCACTTCTGCATATGCTGGCGATGTAGGGGTTTCCCCTCTCTGTGTGAACGGCAATGCATCAGCGACCTTAGCAATAAAGAATAAATGAAGAACATTTAACATAGGGTATTACACTTTACTTTTTTTAGTTTTTTCAATAATGCTTTCAGCCATCTTAATTATTTAAAAGGAAATGGAACACATGTGGTAAAGTGTTTTTTAAAAAAATAAAAAGTTATGTATAATGCTTGAATGGTTTTAAATCAACTAAAATTCTGACAGTTAAAGTACCATGAAAACAAACAAGTATTTATTTTTAAAACTAAAAATTCTACAATTAGATAAGATAAGGACATTTAGAAGACATATACTAAATAATACCCACAAAGCATATTTATCTTTTTCTCTGTTGTTTGGGCCTTTCCTTATGAATCTTCTTTGCATTAAGCGGCTGTAAATTTTGGCAGAAACTTCTGGTTGTTCATCCACTTCTAAAGAAGAGTCTTGATCCCAAACTTGAGTTTTGTGCTTTTACTTCCACTTTACAGATCTGGTTTATATGTATGCAGACTGTTGGTTCTTTTCTTTTCAGGCAGATGCCCTAAGTAGTCAGCTCTTACGACAAGCTTCTTAGGGGACAATGTTTTTGTTTTCATTTAATGGGACTCCTGAACCCACACAGAGATCTTTATGCATTGAGTACTACAATTGGTTATTAATCAGTTTAACTATGCTGATATGTGAAAACTATAAAAGCTCTGGTATATATAAAAGTAAAGATGTGTTCTGAGCATGGCTTTATCTTCCTATAAATTTTTTTCAATGAAAATATTTTTTTTTTTTATGTGACTAATCTTCTTTCTAATGTTCAACTTACTGTAAACTCCGGCAGAATTTTCTGGTTGTTCATCCACCTTTGGACTTTAATCTTGTTTCAGAACCTGGGCTATTGTGTGCACATCTGTTTTACAGATCTGACATATTTGTATGCAGACCTTTGGTTCCTTGCCTTTCAGGCAGACGCAACCTGACCTCTAGTTTACTTTTACTACAGGATTGTTTGGAATGCAGTGCATCTACTCTTGTTTTCCTCCATATTGGGGCCCCAGAACCCACACAGGGAAAAGTTTAATCAAAGGTGTGGGTATGCTCACAAAGTATCTACTACAGTAGGGCTGAATACAGGATGCCTTAACAAAATATGGGGGTGCTGCTTATTAATGACCTTGGTTCCCAGGTTGACCCAGCCTTGAGTGGGTACTAGATGTAGTCCTGGAAAGTAAAGGCAGCTGGCATGATGCTGACCAAATCACCCACCAAGTGCTGACTGGTCTATAAAATACAAGTCTAGCCCTATATGCCCAATAAGCCTGAAAGCATGGAAAAGGGTCCTTCACTTTTTCATTTTTTTTGTTAAATACTGTGTACTCTCGGGGAAAAACCTTGGTTCTGAGTATCTGGTGACAGTCCAATATTTGTAAAAACCAATGGGCAATCAATGGATAAGGCTGTCAATAATGCACTAACCATTTTTACTTCCCAGAACATTTTCTAGCAGATTAGATTTTAGATAAGATCAACAACCTGGGAGCTAAGATCAATTAAAACAAATCCTAGCCTCAAAGGGGAGTGCACATGACAATCAAGTCTTCAAGGCAGCATGTTATGCACTGAGCTATCAGGGCTTTCTAAGTCTGCATAGTTGAAGCAATAAGCAAAAATGATCCGTCTGGTCACAAATTGTGCACAGTTTAGTATGTGAGTGTGGGGAAATCTGTTACAAGTCTCTATCATCATCATCATCATCAATCAGCACGTCCTTCATCACAGCATGCCTCAACTCTTTAAGTCCCCGTCAACGCACCATGCATGATAAGCTACTGCCCATGTGTACCAAGCAACCATCAATGTGATCTGATGTTTAGCTTAAGCACACTACAGAAACCTCATTAGTCTTTAAAATGCCCCAAATAGGAATAAGTGTTGCCACATATGTGACAGTCAGGTTATCACATGATATATTCACTGTGACTGTTGCTACCCTTGAGAATATCCTGTGAAGTCTTCTAATACTTTAAGAGTTAAAGTCTCTATTTTTCTAGATAGTTTTACAGCCCTATAGGCTTTCATTCGCAGCCAGTGTCATTTAGAGTTTCAAGGGAGACTGCACTAAGTCTGTATAGCTGAGTGATGCTGATAAAGACTTCTAGGCCATTTTTGTATCTGTATAGCTGTCTTAGCATTAGCATATGATGAAAGCTTAGAACAGATTATAAATCAGTGTCTGATTTAAAAAAGTAAAACACCCTTTTCAACGCCTTTAGGCATATAGGGCATGTAGGGCTAGACCTATATTTTTATAGACCAATCGGCACAAGATAGGTGATGTAATCAGCATCACGCTGGCTGCCTTTACTTTCCTGGGACTGCACCCAGTATTCAGGATAAGCTCATATTAGCTCTGTCTCCCTCCTCAACAGACAGCAAAGAGTTTCCATACTGATGATTGGCCGTTATCATCTTGTTAACAAGTCAGCTTGCCTTAGCTCTGAGTCTTGAGTGTTGCCCAGAGCTTACAGCCACTCTTTGCTGTATCTCCAGGTACAGATTTTCAGTATCTTTCCTATTACCTGTTACCCTGACCAAATGTTCGAGATCACCTCTGTCTTGTGCAGTTGCAGTACACCCTTAAATGGGGCTCATTCCCAAACACACCTGAACAGCCCAGGCAAAATGTCCATGTGACTTTCACTAACTGTGACATCTGGATGGATTCTGGATTGATATAATCCATTCCATAAGAAGAAAACCCGACTCCACCTTCCTGCATGCTTTGTGAATCCAACATTATGTCAACATGTGCAGCTGAGATTTTTTTTTACCCATCAGAACGCTGCAGATATACCACCTCAACCTCCATTCTCATGCTGGACATGGTGATATCATATGCAAAGCTCTCTTCAGTTAACCTTCTCTCCCATGCTTTTGCAATGAAGCCCCATCCACTTTTCCTGCCCCTGGCAACTGAAGCATCAGTGTATATAATCACATCTCTTGACCTAAAGTTGTCCTCTGTCAGCTGTTGAACCTCTGCATCTGCACATCCTGCCGCCCATTCCCTGCACTCTTATTCCAAGGTAATTACCACTTTGTGCAACTCTTCTCTGCCCTCTCATACCTCTACCCATTCTTCTCCTCGGCTGCAGACCCTTTTGATTGTCTTTTCATCCTGGGCCATCCAGGATCAGCCCCTCTTTAGTCCGTCACCCTTCACAGTGTCCAATTGCCTATGTAGGATATGTTCCGTATCGCTTGCCATGCTAAGATAGTATCCAGCCTGCAGTAAACGATGTCTGTCAGCAACGGTTGGCATAGCTTAGATAGTATCCAGCCTGCAGTAAACGATGTCTGTCAGCAACGGTTGCCATGCTAAGATAGTATCCAGCCTGCAGTAAACGATGTCTGTCAGCAACGGTTGCCATGCTAAGATAGTATCTAGCCTGCAGTAAACGATGTCTGTCAGCAACGGTTGGCATAGCTAAGATAGTATCCAGCCTGCAGTAAACGATGTCTGTCAGCAACGGTTGGCATAGCTAAGATAGTATCCAGCCTGCAGTAAACGATGTCTGTCAGCAACGGTTGCCATGCTAAGATAGTATCCAGCCTGCAGTAAACGATGTCTGTCAGCAACGGTTGCCATGCTAAGATAGTATCTAGCCTGCAGTAAACGATGTCTGTCAGCAACGGTTGCCATGCTAAGATAGTATCTAGCCTGCAGTAAACGATGTCTGTCAGCAACGGTTGCCATGCTAAGATAGTATCCAGCCTGCAGTAAACGATGTCTGTCAGCAACGGTTGCCATGCTAAGATAGTATCCAGCCTGCAGTAAACAATGTCTGTCAGCAACGGTTGCCATGCTAAGATAGTATCTAGCCTGCAGTAAACGATGTCTGTCAGCAACGGTTGCCATGCTAAGATAGTATCCAGCCTGCAGTAAACGATGTCTGTCAGCAACGGTTGCCATGCTAAGATAGTATCCAGCCTGCAGTATACGATGTCTGTCAGCAACGGTTGGCATAGCTAAGATAGTATCCAGCCTGCAGTAAACGATGTCTGTCAGCAACGGTTGGCATAGCTAAGATAGTATCCAGCCTGCAGTATACGATGTCTGTCAGCAACGGTTGGCATAGCTAAGATAGTATCTTGCCTGCAGTAAACGATGTCTGTCAGCAACGCTTGCCATGCTAAGATAGTATCCAGCCTGCAGTAAACGATGTCTGTCAGCAACGGTTGGCATAGCTAAGATAGTATCTAGCCTGCAGTAAACGATGTCTGTCAGCAACGGTTGCCATGCTAAGATAGTATCCAGCCTGCAGTAAACGATGTCTGTCAGCAACGGTTGGCATAGCTAAGATAGTATCCAGCCTGCAGTAAACGATGTCTGTCAGCAACGGTTGGCATAGCTAAGATAGTATCCAGCCTGCAGTAAACGATGTCTGTCAGCAACGGTTGGCATAGCTAAGATAGTATCCAGCCTGCAGTATACGATGTCTGTCAGCAAGGGTTGCCATGCTAAGATATGACTCATACAAATACGGGGGATGTCCGTCGTGCATCCAAGAATGGTTCACATATCCTAATTCTGTATGCATTCCAAGTCTTTGACACAGTTAGCATCCACGCACCGTATTCAATGGCTAAGATAACTAGGCTGTAACTGAGTGTGTATATCACTCCTTGTTCCACATCCACAGTAGCCATAACCTTTAGAGCTTTAGGTCCTTTCCTTCTGTCAAATGTAACACATAAATATTTCAGTGTGTTTTCTCTTTTGGCCACTTTTTCCATTTACTGTGTTTTTGGGACATTGCCTAGGATTGAGTCTCTTTACTGTCGAGCTCACTCATAGTTCTGCGGACCTCAGAAAAAAATATGGATATTATTATGGCATGTATTTTCAAAGTATACTAAGTAAAAAATAAGAATGACATCAGTTAAAGAAACACACCTCACAATAACCATCCGCCAGTTGTGGGCGTGTTTTCTCAGGTTCCAGGGAAGATATATATTTGTAATGAGCTTGTAAGCCTGGACTAGGGTCACTAAACACTCCTTCAGTTTGGGAAGCTTGAAGAAGACGACACCTGGAGCAAAAACAAATTAAAGAGGAATACATGACCAACCACTGATTGTTTTGATAATTTTGAAATATGAAATGTATAGATCATAACAACTAGATAGAATAATTTATTATTTTTTGCCTACTGTCTTACTAAATAATTACAGTCAAACATATCTATTATTTATGGAGTCGCAGTGGCTTAGCAGCAAGATGCTCGCATGAAGATCGGAAGGTCATGGGTTTGCTCCCTGGTGGAGCCAGACTTTTTTCAAAAATGACCTTGACTACCAGGTTGACCCAGCCTTGAGTGGGTACAGGGTGCAGTCCTGGGAAGTAAAGATGGCCAGCGTGACCACATTATCCATCTTGTGCTGATTGGTCTTTAAAAATATAGGTCTAAACCTATTTGCCCTATACGCCTAAAGCGTGGAAAAATGACCTTTACTTTTTCGCCTCTTCAATCCCTCTGTTGTCCATTTCAATGTCTGTCTGGTTATTGTCTGCTGTTTTCTTCTCAGTATGTGTCCAATATAGCGCCATCTTCTCTGATTAAAACATTTGATACTAGTGGTTGTGCAAACATTTATCTGATCTGATAATTTATTATTTATCTGATAATTTACATAGACTAGCCCATGTCACAGGTGAGCAAGTATGGGGTGACCCGACTGCAGTGAAACCTAGACTAACACTAAAAACCATAACAAAGGGACAAGGGGAAACAACATGGGCATACAAGATGTATGACATTTCACTTGGACAAAACCACAAAAACAACAGTTTCCACATCCCGGGGAGAGGTCACATGAGTAAACATAAAATCTAGGAAGAGGAAAAGGTGATGTGGAATGAATAAATATAGTAATCATAATAACAGTGATTACAAGAGTAATAATCATAGTAGTGGTAGAAATAATAGTAACAATAACATCAAGGGTGATAATAATAGTTTTTGTTGAGAAATGCACCAATCTACACATTATTTTTATGTGTCTACATTGTTCCCCCCACACCCACCATTTTTTTTTTAAATTTTTTAGTCAGTCCAGTAGATTAATTTCTTGGCAAAAACAATAACACAATTTTTTTTTTAATCTAACCTGTTTTTAGGTAAAATGGAGTTGTTAAAACAACAAAAATACAGATGATAAACTTACTAATGTATGACTAGCAAAACCATATATTTACTAGCTAATATACACATGTATGTGTGTACAAAATGAAAGTATATGTATGCAAACACTTACCGAACACAGACAACGATTAAGATGATAAGTAGCACAGCAGATATTCCACTTATTATCGATAACATAATAATGAGAACTGAAACATTTTAGGAAAACATTTTAGTGATTACAAAATATGATCTTACAGTTAACAGTGTTTCTTTATAAGTAAAAAGTAAAAGTAATGGACCCTTTTCCACGCCTTTAGGCGTATAGGGCATATAGGGCTAGACCTATATTTTTAAAGACCATCGGCACAAGATGGGTGATGTGGTCAACATCACGCCAGCCGCCTTTACTTCCCGGGACTGCACCCCGTACCCACTCAAGGCTGGGTCAACCTGAGAGCCAAGGTTATTTCTTTTTAAAAGTCCGGCTCCGCCATGGACGAACCCACAACCTTCCGATCTGCTGCTCCGCGACAAGGACTCCCAGTTTTCCTTTATTGCTGTATATGAATTTTCTGATTTCTGTCTCTATAGCTAATGCAGCCTGTATAATCTTCTTCTTCTTCTTCTATTCGCTTGAAATATATTATCTAAATCTGCAATGTTGTCTCTAGTATGAACTTTGATGTCTGTTGTAATTCAGTCAGCGACCAGTAAAGTTTGGCTTACACTAGTGTTTCTAGTGGCCAAAAGTTTTGCCTTGATATGTTGTATTTGGAACAGTCCTGAAGGACAGATCCCTTGTTTCAGGTGCCAATCAAGATGTGTACATGGCTGATAAGGCAATCTTAAATTGTGTATACATGTGGCTGTGAAGTCTATTTCTTGTTCTAAATTGTAGAATAATGGCTTGCTCTGGTCTCTCCATAATATGGTAATCATCTTGTTCCGCTTTTGGTAGCTTTCTGATTGATTTGATTTTTCTCTTCTTCTGTTGACAAGAAACTGGTACGTCAGGTTGTTCTACATTTGCACTTTCCTTAGCTACTTCATCAGCTCTTTCATTTCCAGGAACTCCACGGACTAACTGGTACAACCGATATAGTTAAACTGGTTGCCTAGTTTGGAGAGTAGTTTCTGTATACCAAGTAATTTTCCAGATTCAAGTGCATGAAGTACTATCGTTCTTGCATCTCTTAGAAATACCGTGGGTTGTGAAATATGACATATATTTAGCAGCATCTCTGCTGCTATTATGATGGCTTGAACTTCTGCATCATAGTTGTGACAGTGCTTTCCTGTGGTATATGAGATAACTCATTGTATTTGCTTACAGCTTGTATATGATAATGAACAAGGCTATATTTTCTGGCAATACAAAATACTAGTCCTTTTATTAAGGCACTTTTTTTTCAGAGCTACTTAACAGACACTTTATGGACTCTTTGTAAGGATGAGTACCGGCACGTTTTTTGAACTCTTTGTGGTGAGTACTGGCACCTTTTTAAACACTTTGTGGTAAGCACCGGCAACTTTTTAAACACTTTGAGATAAGTACAGGCTCTTTTTTTAAACACTATGTGGTTAGTACCAACACCTTTTTAACACTTTGTGGAAAGTACCAACACCTTTATAAACACTGTGGTGAGTACCATTACTTTTCTCCTTGGAAAAAAACACCAGTAATGAAACTATGTCATGTATCTGCTAGTTAGTTAGTTAGTTAGTTAGTTAGTTGGGTTATCCTCATTGCACTCCGGACATGTCCATAGGTGCTCAGATCCTCCCCTCAGTATGAACCCCAACGTCCGATGGCTAATAGTACCAGTTCTATGTTGATTAACAAGTCTTCTTGCGTGTCTGGTGTGCGTCTCGTTTTTTGCTGTACCGATCTTAATTCCCAAGTCTGCCATTCTGGCGAGTGATGTTGATTCACTGCCACCAAAGTCCTCTATCCTTCCCATTTCTCTGAGGGCATTGATAATATCAGCATGATCCATAGGCTGACCGTCGGTAGTGATAGCGGATCCAGCCAACCTGTCAGCTCTCTCATTTCCATCGACGCCTGCGTGTCCCAGAACAAAAATAAAGGTGACTCCACGCACAGTGGACTTCTGTAATGATTCAAGCCATTGTCTTCGCACTGAACCTGCCTGAACCCTCCGGATCATACTCATTGAATCACTGAGTATACACACGTGGGTGTATTTTTGTGTTTCAAGCCAGGCAAGCGCTTGCGTCACTGCCATCACCTCCATCGTCATGCTGCTGGTTGTCATGGAGAAGGCGCCGTTGGCTTCTTTGACTGTTCTGCCCGCTGAGCGTGCTGTAAATGCCCATGCGCTTCTTCTTTGGCGTATAACGGATCCGTCTGTATAGATTATTGCATCTGCTTCGTCTGAACTTTCACCGATGAGAGCGTTGACCTCTGCATTAACAGCAACAGGATTCTCTTCTCTACATCACCTGTTGAGTGTGACAATACAGGAAAATGTACAAATAAACGCCTGAGGCACAGGTGTCCATTCTGCACCAGGTATGATGTCGGTTAGGCTGCATATTTGCCTAAAAACATTTTCTGCCCGACCTAGCCACGATTTCCCCCTCTTCAGTCTGTCGCCTGTCATGTATCTGCTTCTTTTGCCTAGTATAATACCACATAAGGATTGTCTTATCCGGTGCGTTTCTTCTACTGTCATTCCTTAAATATTTCATTTACTTTTCCTTATGATAAATTATTTTAATAATGCATGACTTTTCTCCCCTGTCCATGATATTCCTTTTACCTACAAACATTGGACTATAGGTGACTTTATAACCATGATGTGGTCCCCAAATATAACCATACTATGTGGCTGAAAGGATGAACGGGGTTTCCAGAATTTGTACCTATTTGAGTCTCATTGTTGAAATGTTAATTCCAGACTGCAATCCTGGAGGGAGAAATAATATTCTAAGAAACATATTTTACTGCCTCCAGCTTTCTCATCTTATAAATAAAAAGTCACAATTATTTTCATCAACTGGTGGTTTAATCTTATTTTAGTTAGGTTTTGTTATCACACTCAACATCACTGCACTTTGGAAATTCCTGTGTATGTTTAGTTAAGTTGAGTCAAGAATTGACATCACAGTACTTGGGGCATTCCCATGCATGCTCCGTCCTCATCTTCAGCAGCCAACGCAGAGTTCCAATACTGATAGTACCGGTCATAATCTGGTTATCTGTCCATCTTGCCTTTCCTCTGAGTGTAGTGAGCTGGTCAGACGCTCTGGTTACACCACGGTGACTCATTCTCTCCAGGCCATAATAATCTAGTTTTTCCTCTAATTCCCAAAGAGCCTTGACCACATCTGCCTTGTCATGTATCAATTCACCACTCAGTGGTGCAGATCCAGCCAATTTGTCTGCCTGTTCATTACCCACTACGCCCGCACTGCCAGGAGAAAAGATCCAAAGTATGCTCCCTACACGTGACCTTCCCAGTGAAGCTTGCCACTCTGCTCGAAGCATCCCTGTCTTCACCTTTCTGAGCATGCTTTCAGAGTCTGTTACAATTAGGACACGTGTATGCATCTTGTTCTCTAGCCACCGGAGAGCTGCAGTTACCGCCTCCACCTCCATTCTCATGCTGGATGTTGTGATGTCGTATGCTAGGCTGTCTTGCACTAAAGATTTTCCATTAGCTTTTGCTACAAACCCCCCCCCCCAGGCACTTTTCTTTCCTCTCAACACTTAACCATCTGTATGGATAATCAGATCCCCTGGGTCTGACCTGTCGTGAATCAACTGTTGGATTATCACCTCCGTACCACCCGCTAGCCTGTGTCTGCTCAGTCTATAGATACAGCAGCCACACCTCTAATGACTTCTCATTTGGTTATATAAACCTGTTAATCTGACATATACTTTATGTTTTTCCAGTCTCTTTGAAGATAATTATACTAACTATAGTGATGTCACAGACCTTATATGTATGAAAGATATCCTGAGTTCACTTACCCTCAGTATTTATTTCTGCACCAGTTAGCACAGGAATCGTAGTAGATTCTATAAAATCAAAATAAAACCCCACAAAACATTATGCAGAAAAAAACTCTTTTAACGTATAGAATTTATTAGTATAACAGTAACATAGTCTTAAAGTCCATGATGTGTGGCATTGGTAGTCATGTCTATCCATAACCTTTTGTCTTGTGTACTTTTAATCAACTTTGATCACAGATGATCCTCCATGCCATGATGTCAAACACTCCAGCATCTTTTCTCTCGGTTTCTCTTTGTCTCTCCTGCCCTCCAACTTTCCTACTGTCATGATGTATTCCAGCTTTCTCCTTCTCATCACATGACCAAAAAATATGGATTGTCTCTTTCTGATGTGGGCAATCAGTTCTCTTTGTGAGTCAGTTTCTTTCAAGATGTCCTCGTTATTGTTTTTATCTGTCCAGGGTATTCTCATCATTCGTCTATAAAACCACATCTCCGCAGCTTCTAAATAATGTTTCACCAATCTATTAACTGCTCATGATGCACTTCCGTACATCAAAATAGGATTTCTATAGCTTTTTTGGAATTTTCGGCAATCCTCCAAATAACGGTTGGTAAAGATGGCGGCCGCAAAATATCCTTTCGAGCCAGTTACGTGACCTAATTTGCTGTTCTCCGGCAATTACCGCCACCGCCATGAGTCCCCCACGCCGATCACGCGGCGTGGATTGGGGCTAAACTAGATGGCTAGGACTCATGAACAAAGCTTCAGGAGATGCGGAGAACCGCGAATCAGGTCACGTGACTGTGGCTCGAAATGATATTTTGCGGCCGCCATCTCTTCCGACCGTTATTCGGAGGATAGCCGAATGTTCTTGTTCATCTCAACTGACAAAGAAAGACTGCATAAAATAATCTTAATTTTGTAAAACGCTGCCTTTGCTTATATAGTAAATAATCCTTATTCTTTCAGTTCCAAGTAACGAATGATGTGTGACTGGTTCTGCTCACTGAATCTAAACCAGCACACAATATTGTCTCATTTTTTCATTTGGTCAGAGCATACTTAAAGAGCAAATTGGAAGGCAGAGAGATAAATATCTGGATGGCTAGGGAAAGATGGGATGAGACAAGAGCACTGACCTAATCTATGATTCAGGTGATCCTATGAGATGGTGAGACATGACTACCTAAGCTGATTGGCATGGCACGCAATGATGATACTAAAAAAGCTACAAAGGCATAGCTGTTAGTAGACTTTCCTGCCATGACAGTGTTCTGGGTTCTTCTTCATATTAGCATTCACCAGCTATATTGACTGAATTTTCACCCCAGCAGGACATCACACAGAGCCATAACCACCCGGTGACACAAAGTGCTATTCGGATGAGGATCACCCATGGAGAGGTCCCAGAAACCCAGTTCAACTGTTAGGTTATAGTAGGGCAACCAAGGTGGGGCTTCAAAATAACAAAACATCTGTACTATACAGGAACTGATATATATGTTTGATCACCAGCTGAAACTTCCATGGAAAGTTCTAGTTGTTCATACACTTCTAGATTCTGGTTTTGTTCCAGAACATGAGTTCTGCACACACATCTATTTCTTAAGGATTTAAAGAATTTACCTTGTCTAACTAAATCTGCTAAAGTCAAAGTGTCTGTCTCGCAACACCAGGATCAAAATATATAAAAAGTTGATAAGACCAGTCATGTTATACGGCTCTGAAACTTGGAGCACAACAAAAGAGATGAAGCCTTATTACAGGTTTCGAAAACAGAGTCTTATGACGAATCTTGGGACCTATCAAAGATGCAAACAGCGGTGAATGGAGAGTGAGAAGCAACAACAAAATTCATATTTTGTTTAAATCACCACTGATCACTGGCATCATGAGAGTTAATAGACTGAAATGGTTAGGGCATTTTGAAAGAATGTCAGATGACAGAGAAGTAAAATTGGTATGCACCAGGGAGATGAATGGTCGTAGACCACGATAGAGACCAAGAAGAGAGATAATATCCAGACAGACCTGCAAACACTTGGTGTCACCAACTGGAGAGAGAAGGCCAACCAGAGAGATGAATGGAGGTGGGTGATATCTGCAGTGTCCTCAAAAGCAAAGATGACCAGTTTAATGCTGACCATATCACCCAATGAATGTCACCCTGGCCTGGACCCAATCTAAAATGGGTACAGGTAATGTCCTAGAAGGTAAAAGTGGCCAGCATTCTGCTGATCACATCAGCCACTAAAAGTCACTTGGTTTATAAAAATATCAATCTAGCATAACACATCTCATGCACCATCTGCACAAAAAAGAGTTCTTTAGAAGAATCTAAGAAGTCTGGATTTACTAATATGACAGTATTTTAAAAAATGTGAATATACTCATTTGACAGTACTGTCTGTGATAGTAGAAAGTCTGAATTATATGTTGTCTTTGAACATATAGTGAGCAGTATTGTATTTCATTCTTTCATTGCACATTTTATACCAATATATTTCACAAAATACTCTCAGTCTAGTTCTCCCTTTCATTCTAACCTGTGCAATCATGGATGGAATCTAGTTGAGCATCTCTGGTTTCTCTCATCAAAGTTCAATTCAAGGTTTCACACGGACAACTTTGTTTCCTCAATCCCTTAATTTCCCATCTCACTGCCTGTCTGGGAATTCTCTGTTCATCCCTTCTCATAATGTGTCCAATACAGCGCCATATTCTCTGTTCATCCCTTCTCATAATGTATCCAACACAGCGCCAAATTCTCTGTCTTTCAACTGTTGATACTAGTGATTGCCCAGATATTTCTCCCATTTTTTTTTTCAACCCTCTTGAATTCATCATCCCATTTTATTTATCATCCCTTCTCATTGAGTCCAACACAGCGCCAAATTCTCTGTCTTTCAGTTGAGTAGAGAAAAACCCTCTTGATAATTTTATTTATTTTTCCCAGAGTACATTAGATAAAGCAAGCCAAGTATTGGGACAGCTAGCACCCCTCTTACAGAATAAGACAATCCCAATCAGCACAAAGAGACATCTTATTCAAAGCATATTTATTCCAACTCTGTGCTTCCAGTGCCAGACATGGTCACTCACAACAAACCACAAAAGAAAATTAGTAACTATGGAAATGAGATGTCTGAGAAGGGCTGTAGGAGTGACCAAAAGAGATAAGATCAGGAATGAGATCATAAGAGAAAAAGTCGGCACAGAACCAATTCTAAATTACATACAAAGACAGCAAGTGAAATGGTTTGCCCACTTAGAATGCCTTGTGACACCATACCATACAAAGCATACATGGAAAGAGAAGAAGGTCGTAGAGCAAGAGGTAGACCAAGAACAAGATGGAAGGATAACATCAGAGAAGCTCTACAACAGCACGATTTGCCTATGGTCGAAGCGGCCAGAAGAGCCAGAAACAGAACCTTTTATCTCCCTCGACACCCACAGCGGTAAAAGAGGAAGTGAAGAAGAAGAAGAAGAGAAAAAAATTACTACTTGATTAACATCTAGTCCCCACAATGCAGAATAAAATATGTTCCTTTCATTACCTGCATTTACAATATCCTTAGGGTTGTGTCTACTTTCTGAATCCATATCGTAGATCCAGCCTGAACAAGGTAACAGAGATGCCTGAAAGTTGGAAACTTGATTCTTGGAGTGTACTGGGGAGAAAAAAATGTAAAAGTATTTTAATTATTTCTAAACAACAAAAACAAAGACTCAGTAAACAAAGCAGAGATATTAAATAACCTGACCAATACAGTTAATTTTTTTTATTTTTCTTTACCTTGTGCATCTCCACATGGAGGTTGGTAATTATGTAATCACAGTTCAAACTTCATAACGAGCATGTTACTTAATAGTTGCTCTCTTCCTGTGCCAGCGAAAACCTAACAGAATGTCCACCACTGGTCCTTGTAAAACAAATAACTGACATAACCTGCAGCCGCAGCAAAAGATCAATAGCATACCCACACATTAACAAATCAATAGCATACCCACATATTAAAAGATGAACTGCACACCCACATATTAAAAGATCAATAGCATACCCACATATTAAAGATCAATAGCATACCCACATATTAAAGACCAATAGCATACCCACATATGAAAAGATCAATAGCATACAAACATATGAAAAGATCAATAGCATACCCACATATTAAAAGACCAATAGCATACCCACATATTAAAAGACCAATAGCATACCCACATATTAAAAGACCAATAGCATACAAACATATTAAAAGATCAATAGCATACCCACATATGAAAAGATCAATAGCATATCCACATATTAAAAGACCAATAGCATACCCACATATTAAAAGACCAATAGCATATCCACATATTAAAATACCAATATCATACCCACATATGAAAATATCAATAGCATACAAACATATTAAAAGATCAATAGCACACCCACATATTAAAAAGCAGCCTTCAGAAGGGCCACCAAAACAGTCTGGCTTTAGAAATGCAGTTTGATAGAAGCAGCAGTTAAAACAGATCAGTAGTTGCTCATGGAATTAACTGGATAAGGCACTGCCAGTTCTCTAGGGAGCCGCTGTGGCCTAGTGGCTAGACCCTCACATGAGGATCGGAAGGTCGTGGGTTCGGTTCCTGACAGGAGGACAGACTGTTTTTAAAAATGACCATGGCTCCCAGGTCGATCCAGCCTTGAGTGGGTACCAGGTGCAGTCCTACGCAGTAAAGGCGGATGGCGTGATGCTGACTACATCACCCACCAAGTGCCGTTTAGTCTATAAAATATAGGTCTAGCCCTATATACCCATTATGCTTGAAAGGCCTGGAAAAGAGTCCATTACTTTTACTGCCAGTTCTCTAGCAACAGGCTTGTCAAAACCCTGTAGGAAGGTTATGGGAGACTGTATAGAAGATAGGACTTGTACTTCATATGTTTGTGTTTGACAAACCAAAAGGTGCACCAGCGGTCAGCCAGCTGAATTCATGATATGGGGAAAACCCATTATGGCTTGAACACCAGTACTACATACACGTTTTACCCTAAGCTGAAAGGGGGGGGGGGGGGGGAGGAGAGCATTGGACATGATGTGTGAGGCTGAAGACAGAGAGAGACATTATAGATTGTATTGTGTTAGGAGCTTAAAGATAGGGACTGTTATGTGTTGTCGAAATATGTGTTGGTTAGTTGTTAATATTTCTTGTATGCTGTATAGTTTTCTACGGACAGTTGTGTTGGTGTTGTGTCATGCATAGTTAGTTGTTCATGCCTATGGGTTATTAGTTTAGCTGTGTTTGGTGCTGGCGTTAACACTGCCCGCTCATACTTGCATCACTTATCCTGCGTGTACCACTGAGTCTCGCATGGCGAGAACTGCAGCCTAGTTAGCGCTGTACGACAGTGAGGTGGAATCAAGTCCTCTGGTACATCCATGGGAACGGCTCGGGGTGGATTAGTAAATATAAATGCTGCCACTGCTGGCGTTTCGGATTAGCGACTGTCCATAACTGTTGAGGTTGCTTTAGTTTGAATTGCTCTTTGTGCATTAAAGATTATGTGTGCCCTCAATAGGTGTGTGTTTTGAGTGTGTTCTAGTATAGTGTGTCTGTCACAGGGCCGTATAACGAGCCATAGTTAAGTAGCATAGATACAAGGTCCTTGACAAGGCTACTTGCCATTTTTTAAATCTACAGTTAACAACAAATATTCTTCTTCTCGTTCACTGGCTGTAAACTCTGGCAGAAAGTTCTGGTTTTTCGTCCACTTTTGGACCAGTCTTTTTCCAGAACCTGAGTATTGCGTGTACATCCGTTTGACAGATCTGTATGCAGACTATTGGTTCCTTGCCTCTCAGGCAGATGCACTCCGACTTTGAAGAAAGCTCCCAATTAGTCGACTCTTACGACATGCTTTTGGGTAGGCAGTGGGTCTATTCTTGTTTTTCCCATAGTAGGGCCCCGGAACCTACACGGGGATTAACAACAAATGATTTTTGGATACTGGACACAGTCGAAAAGTACTCCACACCTGTGGTGTATAAATAGAGTTTTCAAGATTTTTTTTTAAACCCCTAAATGTAGAGATCAACTTACATGGTGGAGAATAACATGCATTAGACAGGTACAGGCCTAACTTTAAATTCAGAGCTAAAGAATCTTGAGGTCAGTTTATAAGCTGCAATTACAACACTCTGAATTTTCATATGTGTTACTCTTGTCTTTTCACATGCATTACCTTAGTTTTCACATACATTATACATAAAAACAACTCCCTTTCCATTACAAAAATGACTTACAAAGAGAAAACAACTTCTTATTCACCTTAATATAACACAGCAATCAGGACACAGTTGCTGGTGTTAGTAATATTCAGCTGCAGTCAAATTCTAGTCAAGGAACTAACTTGATTAATATCCTTACACACAAATATGCACACAACAGACCAACCTTAACATGACTCTACTTGTGTTTTCCACACCTACACTCCCAACAAGACTACACATTATAACTATAAATAAAACAGCAAGAACACAGGAAGTGTTGGCGTATACAGCTTGCCTGTTTGAAGTGAGAAGAACAATTAGCCGCTAATTAAAGGCCGGAGTGTTATCACAATGTGCCTGTGATAGTGTAGACCAAAGCATGCTGGTGACAATGCCCTCTTGATTCATATCCCATACTGCTATTACTGTGACAAAAGCACTTAACTGTTTTTTCTTTACCACAAGCTTAATGTTTTATGTCAGTCTGACAATTACTAAAAAACAAAAGAATATTGTATATTGATAATAATGAAATTCATTTTTGTATATTCATCCATCATAACTCCTGTTTAAACTCTTTTATGATAGTTTGAAAATAATCATAAATGTTGCAGTAGTAGAAGTAATTTTCACAAAAATAACTTTTCAGCCCTGAAGGTTATAATTGGAATATACAGTGTTCATAATGTTTTCAGAGTATATGTTTGTTTTATATTTTATATATCATATAATTATTTTTTTAGAACAACTATGTAATTTGTATTACTGTTTAAAATACCGCTTTGTTCAAACCTTTCTGGGTTGTGTTTAAGATAGAAATTGCACTAAGAATACTTAGATAATCTTTATAACATTGTGTCCTTAAATGGTGTCTTCAACGGAAACTAAATCTGTCTTTTTGCATTAATCCATTGAGGAGTGGCTGGCTGACCGGTTAAGAACAGTGGTATCTAGGGAGACCTAGGTTTGAATCCTTGGTAAGGTGACAGATTATTTTCTGTTAGGGGCAACAACAAAATCATTGCCTGCACAGTCCATGGTTTTCGCCATGTGGCCCTTGCACAGCAACTCAACTAAGTTTACTCAGGGACCAGAATGCTGACAATTGGGATTACCATGGACCACAGGGATCATCAAAGACCATGGGGATCATCATGGACCAAAGGGATCATTATGGACCATAGGGATCATTATGTACCATAGGGATCATCATAGACCATAGTGGTTATCATGGACCACAGGAATCATTATGGACCATAGGGATCATTATGGACCATAGGGATCATCATAGACCACAGGGATCATCATGGACCACAGGGATCATCATGAACTATGTGGATGATTATAGACCATGGGGATCATCATGGACCATGGGGATCATCATAGACCATGGGGATCATCATGGACCATAGGGATCATTATGGACCATAGGGATCCTCATGGGCCATGGGGGTCATCATGGGGATCATCATGAGCCATGGGGGGTCATCATGGGCCATGGGGGTCATCATGGACCATGGGGATCATCATGGACCATGGGGGTCATCATGGGCCATGGGGATCATCATAGACCATGGAGGGTCATCATGGACCATGGGGATTATCATGGACCATAGGGATCATTATGGACCATATGGATAATCATGGACTATGGGGATTATCATGGACTATGGCGATCATCATGGACCATAGGGATCATCATGATCCACGGAGATCATCATGGACCATAGGGATTATTATAGATCATAGCTGAACTTCATGCCTGCACAGACTTTTAAGAGGTCAGATATGAATACACTAACAATAGCGCTTTTCTTTGGGGCAGTAGGTTGGGGGCGGAGGGGGGGTTGACATTAGATCTGAACGACTTTTTTCTTCAGCTTCTTCTTCTTCTTCATCTTTTTCACGTTCACAGGCTATAATCTCTGGCGGAAAGTTCTGGTTGTTCATCCACCGCCAGACTTCAGACTTGTTCCAGAACCTGAGTTTTGCAAGCACATCTGTTTTACAGATCTGACTTGTCTGTATGCAGACTGTTGGTTCCTTGCCTCTCAGGCAGATGTACTCTGACTTCAAAGGCAAACCCCTAATTAGTCGACTCTTACAACATGCCTGTTGGGTAGGTAGTGGGTCTATTCTTATGTTCCCTATATTGTGGCCTAGAATCCACACGGGAAATGGCATTTTCAAAGCCAAGTTGACGTCAGATTATCTTGTAAGCCTCAGTGGTAGAGGTCAAGGGGTCATGGGCCCCCTGATAAAAGTGTGTTTGAGGCCCTGGGAAATGTATGCAACTGAATGCTTCACCCCATTCAAATTACCTTATTACTCCTTTCAAATTTATGCTCCTTTCATACTCCTTTCATAAAACTATTTTAAAATGTTGATAAAAATATTTTCAACAAATT